TCAATTTTCTTTTATAGTGCTTTCTGGGTTCGAAGAAATACTTGCTTACCCCAAGGTCATGAAGGTATTTCCTGTTCTCTTTTAAAAGCCTTAGTTTTTGCTTTCATTTACATTTAGGTTAATAGTACACTACAAATTACTTTTCAAGGGTAGTATGAGATAAGGCCTGAGATTCAAAATATCGTTATTCCAGCACATTTTCCCTTTCCCCATGGAATTATTGTGGAGTATTTTTAAAAAATCACTTGATAGGGGCACCTGGGTGGCTCAGTTGGTTGAGCATCTGACTTCAACTCAGGTCATGATCTCACGGTTTGTAGGTTCGAGCCCTGTGTCAGGCTCTGCACTGACAAACGCAGAGCCTGCTTCAGATTCTCTCTCCCTCGCTCTCTGCCCCTCCCCCACTCATGCTCACGCGCGCTCTCTCTCAAGAATAACCAAACATAAAAAAAAAATCATTTGATCATATTTGTGTGGGTGTATTTCTGGACTGTATTTGTATTTCAATGATCTATGTGTCTTGTTTACAGTACCCATCCATACCCAAGGTCTTAAAAATCATAGAGACTCAGTCCCTCAACTCTGTTCTTTTCCAAAACTGTTTTAGCTATTGTAGGTTCATCACATAGCTTTTACATAAGCTTGAAATTTTTAGTGAAAAGCCTAATGGGATTTTGACTGCACTGAATCTACAGATCAATTTAGAAAGAGCTGACAACAAAACAATATTGAGTATTCCAATCGTGTATATAATATATCCATTTATTTAAATCTCCTTTAATTTCTCTCAGCAATAAGTATCACACATTTAAGTCTTAGGTGTTTGTTTATAATCTGCTGATTAGTGTAACTTATAAATCTGTGTAAAGCCATATGAGGAAATTTCAAGATTGGTATGACATGGTGTTTTTTCTTATACTCTAATAGGAGAGCAAACTATCCTCATTACAGTTTTAAAAATAGAAAAATTTGAATAACATTTGAATTAGAAGAGATGAAATATGTACACATTTAATGACAGCACAAAGATAGAATATAAGAGATAGAAAGGAATCACACATGCTACAATACAACAACCAAGGAGAAAGCAAATCTAGCCTTTGATTTCTCTTAATTAAAAATAATAGAAATATGTTGAAGTGAATCTGTCACTTAATATATGAAAAACTGAATTCTAAGAGATATAAGCAATTGGGAAAATAAAAATCTTTTTATGATGACTCCTGCATCCAAATTGGCATTCAGCATGGATAAAATATATTTTTTAAAGATTTTATTTTTAAGTAATCTCTACACAATGTGGGGCTCAAATTTATAACCCCAAGATCAAGAGTCACTGACTCTGCTCTACTGACTGAGTCAGGCAGGTGCCTCTATTTTTTTATTTAATATTTTCATTTATGAAGATTACTTAACTTCATTAAATGATTTCAGCATTTAATAATCAATATAACCAAGCTTATCCTTCACCTATGATCTTCTACTTTAATTAAAAATGGCTGGTCAGAATTCCCTTTATATAAACCTTTTATAATGTACTTGAAAATGGTTAACTTATTTCTTTTTGCTTACTAAGTACATAATCCCAATTCAAAAGCTTTTCGTCATGTTTTAATTCTTTAATTTTTTTAGACAAAACTATCAAATATACACTAAAATATGATTAAATCAGTCTTTTAAGATACTTCCCTCCCCGTAATTTCAGATGAGAAATTAGACTTCTGATTGAAAAATAAAGTTATTCTTTATTATTTTAGTTTTCGTTTTAAAATAAATGCATCAAATAAGAAATCAGTATGTTAGAACATTTATAATCTGAAAACGTTCTTAGCAGTAATTCCTCCATAAAATATAACTGCATATATAAAGCAGTATCAAATCCACATATATATATATATATTAGATAGTAAAGTATAATGAGAAGATAGCACATCTTTTTATGTCTGGACTATATGAAAATTAATAGTTATAAAATGGGATAGAAAATGGCTTTGCTGCTAACTAGTATGCGACTGACAAACTTCTCTCACATCTTCGTTCTCCTTTTTCTCAAAAACAGGGAGGGAAAAATAATACCTCCATAGAGTTGCAAAGATTAAATTATTGTTTGCAAGGTACTTTGTATAGTTCCTACCTGATAGTAAGTACTAAATTAATGGCAGCTAATATCATCTTATGGCACTAATAACAACAGAAATACAGTTGATCCTTGAACAACACAGGGACTGGGGCACTGACCCCTGCACAGTGGAAAATACAAGTATAATGACTCCCCCAAAAAGTTAATAGCCTACAATTGACTGAAAGCCCTACGAATAAAATAGACTATTAACAAATATTTTGTATGTTGTATGTATTGTATATTGTATTCTTACAATAAGCAAGCCAGAGAAAAGAAAAGGTTATTAAGAAAATCGTAAGGAAGAAAAATACAGTGTTGTATTTTACAGTATTGTAAAAAATCATGTAAGTGGACCCACACAGCTCAAACTGGTGTTGTTCAAAGTTCAATGGTATATTGCCTCACATGAGCTATTCTGTATGCTATTTAATTCAGTAGACTGAAAGAGAAAAGGAAACTTGAGGAACTCTGCAATATGGCGATTATCCCACAGCTATGTGTCTGTATACTAAAAACCAGCCATAATGTAAAAATGCACAAACAACATCCTGGAGTCTTACACAGTTTTTTCTTTAGCATCCATAGCTCGTTAGAAATTAATGGTTATTTAAGAGAATTAAGTGTCTCAAGAAAAAAATTAATGTCAACTTTGAAGGCTTTAGAATTAAACTAAGGAAGTATTTAACATATCATTTGTGACTGATTTTCAGACGTACTTAGTTATTTAAAATGACCAATTATGGTTAGGTTTAAAATACACAAGTGCAAATAAAAACTCAAATGTGTAACAAAGATCTCTCTTCGGTTCTTATGAAAAGAAAAAAGGACAAAACTAAGTATGTAAAATTATATTACAAATATCAGGAAACTTCAACAATCATCAGAGATTATATAGAAAACTAGCAAACTCTTTCCCACACACATTTAATTAATCTGAAATAGAACACATGTGAACATATTACATACATGATTTTCTTTGGCTACTAAAGACCACAAAACAATTCGCCACAAAATATATTTTGTGCAAAATAAAGAGACTGTATTTTAAGAGAGAAAAAAAGGAAAGATGAATCATTAACAGGGTACCCATTGTTAGGCACTGAATTCGTTTCCCCCAACACCTATCCCACTGCCAGCAATGGGTGTGGAGACAACTGGTGACATAAAAATTAACTTGTTATATTACTTTAAAATAGATAATGCCAGATTGTTTCAGTATTATGAAAAGGCAAACATTCACTCTTGACCACTTACTAAGGACTTGCCCCAGAAATTTCTATTATCTTCTTAATAGTAATCTGGACAGAGGGAGGAGGATGGTGCGGATGGAAAACTTTGAGACAGAGAGACAGAGAGAGAGAGAGAGAGAAAACATACAATAGAAATACATATAACATTATGCATATAGTACAAATAATGAAAAACGACTTTGACACATTTTCCAAAAAAAGTTATTTTTACATATCTTGAAATCCTGTAAAAACCAAGTAGATAGCAAGGGTTAAAAACAAAGTCACTGATGAATGATAATCACTTTTTAACAGAGTTCATGCAGTTATCTTAGTTGGAAAGCTCCTGTCCCAAGTCACAAAATTTATGCTGTCACATGATTACGTATGAAAATCGTTTCTTAAAAGAAATTATTTTGTATTTGGTGTTAACAGAGCTCTTGAGAAAGTGCTATACAAACTGAAGTTTATAGAAATTTTTAAGTGATAATCTTAAAATACCATACAAAACGTGTAAACGAAAAGATGCTTTAGAGTTGCAGGGCATTATAAAATCCATAATGCAGATTAAGACCAAAGATCATTTCTTCTGCATTTAAAAACATTATTAGCACAATCTTAAAAGTTCAAAATTGCGTTTCAGTCAGCAGCGAAAGGTATTGGAAGTACCACCGCACTTCACAGGACCTAAGGGATAACTGCAGGTGCGCTGTGACCTGGCCAGCACAAGCTCACCGCACTTATGGATGGACGTAGGAGAGAGATTTTGCAACAGGTCTCACCTGGGAGATATTCTAGCATTAAAACATTTATACTTGACTTGTATCTACTCTGTCAGAGAGGGAAACTGCTTTTAAAAGACATTATAAACAATATAAATTCTGATAGTAAAGCACTGTAAAAATTAGGTATGATATATTTGGCACAAAGCACTTTTAAAATCTGAGCTCATTTTGCAAAATATATGTCTGGAACTTCTTATTTGAAAATAAAAACTTTTAACATACACACAATGTGTAAATGATTTTATGAATGAATTAGATTCAATGTTTCCTTAAATACTGAACATACCGTCAGTATATTTCAGTACCAGATATCTGCATGCATACCTCCACATTCTAAATTATACAGATATTGCACAAGTAACATTGCCAAAATACACACCAATGCAGTCTGGCAAGATTTAGAGCTTACCTTTCAATATTATTTTTTTGTAAGTATTCAGATTCAGTACTACTTTCCAAAAAGCTGTATGACCAACTTCAGAAAAAGAATGCTTGCTATCTTTCCTTGACCCATAATATTAAAATCTGTACCAACATATTTAGGCATTTCAGCTATGTTTTCCAGCGTTTCAAATTCAGCAAAACCTGTTTTTTGACACTTCTTATGGACCATTCCTTCAAAAACAGGAGAAGCTTCGTCTGATGCAAAAAAATTAAAACGAGTCCACAAGGCAGGAATTTTTCCACCAAAGATGTCACTCCATCTGAAAAGCACTGCAGAACAGTATTTAAGTCTGTCAACTTTCAGAGAGCCATTAGGTGCAAAGTCTGCTAAAAAAAAAACTTGTAACATACCACGACAGCTGGATGTGTTTCTTACGGAATTGCACAATACAATTCAACTTTTTTCCTCCCTAAAACATTTTAGGGTATGCTACAGCTGCTAAAAGGATTTCTGTTTTTCTTGGTCCTCTGTTTGTTGGGTCTAAGATTGATGACATCTCCACCATTAAGGGTACTTGAATTTTGACCTGAGTGACTTCCACCAGATGTATTAAAGACACCTGTATAAATTGAGAGAAAGCACAGAGAATGGCACTGATGCAGCTCAGGGTTACCAAATGTAAACTGTGCATCCAGTTTCTTAGTAAGTCCATAATATGTTCAGTATTTATAATTTTAAGCTTTTGTTTTCATTTCATTTATTATTTTTTTAAACTCTACGATCTTTTTTTAAGTAAACATGGGGCTTGAACTCCCAATCCTGAGATCAAGAGTCACCTGCTCTACCAACTAAGCCATCCAATTTATTTTTAATAGCCAATATACATCATTCAAAGTTCAAAGGATACAAAAAAAGGATTACAATGAAGTCTCCCTTTCACATCACCAGATTACCTTCCCTAATGCATGCATGTTTTATCACTTTTCCTATGTATCCTTCCAAAAATATTTTATGCATATGTAAGCAAAAATGCACATATATATTCTTCTTTCCTTCCTTGACTACCAAAATAGTGATGAACTATATACACTGCTCTGCATCTTTTCACTAACAATCCATTTCTGAAATTTGGGACCAGTAAATATGATAATTTTAATAAATTCACTTATTATCTTTTACATTGTATAATTTCCTCAAGAATACCAGATCTGTAGGTGACGACAGTATTTGTGAGATTTTATGTTAATAAAAACACCGCATATATAAAAGCAGGTAGTAATGTAAAATTTTCCTATTTGGCTAAAACAACAACAAAATGGTCTATAGATAATTAAAGTGATGAGTAGATAAAAGGATGAAATAAAAGAAAATGTTTAACTATTAGAGTTTCCATTTTGAACTGTGCTGGTCTTAAAATGTAATCTCCAATTTCTAAACTACTTAGTGGGGGGCGGGGGGAGTTGGATAGAATACAGATATGAAGTCCTTAAGAGACTACACAGAAACTTAAGAAACAAGGGCGCCTGGGGCACCTAGATGGCTCAGTCAGCAGAGCATCCGACTTCAGGTCAGGTCATGATCTTGCAGTTCATGAGTTCGAGCCCCTCATCAGGCTTGCTGCTCTCAGTGCATAGCCTGCTTCAGATCTTCCGTCCCCTGTGCTCTCTGTCCCTCTACAACTTGTGATCTCTCTCTCAAAAATAAATAAAACATTTAAAACAAAACAAAACAGGGCGCCTGGGTGGCTCAGTCAGTTAAGCGTCCGACTTCGGCTCAGGTCATGATCTCACAGTTCGTGGGTTCAAGCCCCACGTCAGGCTCTGTGCTGACAGCTCAGAGCCTGGAACCTATTTCAGATTCTGTGTCTCCCTCTCTCTCTGCCCCTTCCCTGTTCACGCTCTATCTCTGTCTCAAGAATAAATAAACATTAAAAAAAAAATTTAAAGAAAACAAAACAAAACAGGGGTGCCTGGGTGACTCATTCAGTTAAGCGTCCAACTCTTGATTTGGGCTCAGGTCATGGTCTCGCAGTTTTTGAGATCAAGCCCCAAGTTGGGCTCTGTGCTGAGAGCCCCTCCCCTGCTCACACTCATATGCATGTGCACTCTCTCACTCTCTCTCTCAAATTAAATAAACATTAAAAAAAAAAAAAAAAAGGCCTTAGAAACAGAAAATTTGGTTCTCAACTTCTTGGAAGCCAAAGCAACAAGCAAGAAGACATGGTTAGTCAGTTATTGTTACAGAGCAGACAATACACTTGTTCTTCAGGAAATGCTAAACTTTGCAGGCATTTAGCATTAAAAATAAAATGAGTAAAGTGTATGGAGACAGTACAAGTACAGAACATGTGTTAAGAGTTTCTTTATTTATAGAACAGACCATTTTAAAAAGTCTTTATCTCTGTTCTCCTAAAATATAAAATGAATTTAGAAAATTCAATAGTTAAAAAAAAAATCTTTTAACTCAATATACCTTTTAATATGAGACCTGATACTAAGTTTAAAAATTGCACCTGAGGGGTGCACCTGAGTGGCTCAGTTGGTTAAGTGTCTGACTTCGGCTCAGGTCATGATCTGGCAGTTTGTGAGTTCGAGCCCCGCATTGGGCTCTGTGCTGACAGCTTGGAGCCTGGAGCCTGCTTCAGATTCTGTCTCCTTCTCTCTCTGCCCCTCCCCCACTTGCAGTCTGTATCTCTCTCTCTCTCTCTCTCTCTCTCTCTCAAAAATAAACATTAAAAAAATTTTTTTTAATTGCTTATCTAATACTTCCTAATCACATTTTTTTTAAGAAAGGAATATATTGTATTAAAAAATAGTAAATATGGGGCACCTGGGTGGCTCAATCAGTTAGGAGTCTGACTGGGGCTGTGCTCATGTCATGATCTCTCAGCTCATGAGTTCAAACCCAGTATCCAGCTCTGTGCTGACAGCTCAGAGACCCTGGAGCCTGCTTTGGATTCTGTCTCCCCCTCTCTCTGCCCCTCCCCCACTCATACTCTGTCTCTCTCTCTCAAAAATAAACACTAAAAAAATTTTTTTTAATTAAAAAAATAGTAAATATGATAATAACGAATGAAAATAAATTTACCAGGTAAACATGGGACTAAAACTTTCTGAGTACTTACCAATTTTGTTACTACTTGAATGCATTAATTCTGGATCCTCAGCTATTTGCTGTTTGAGTTTCTGAAGATATTTTTCAGCCAAATATTTAAATACTAAAATAAAAACAAAAACAATAATCTTACCAGGTCAATATAATTTCTGCATGTAAAATCTATTATTTTATATCACTCACTATAATACTTTATACTACATTTATTTTATTTTTGAAATATTTATATTCTTTTATTAATCCTTACTAAACACATTTAAAATTACATTAAAGTATACAATCTGGGGGGGGCACAGGTGGCTCAGTTGGTTAAGCGACCGACTCTTGCTTTACTTATTTTGAGAGAGAAAGGGGGAGAGAAAACGAGTGAGGGAGGGGCATTGAGAGAGGGAGAGAGAGAGAATCCCAAACAGGCTCCACGCTGTCAGCACACAGCCCAATGCAGGGCCCAAACTCACCAACTGCAAGATCATGACCCAAGTCGAAATCAAGGATCAGACGCTTAACCCACTCAGCCACCCGGGTGCCCCAAACGTCCAACTCTTGATTTCAGCTCAGTTCATGATTTCATGGTCATGAGATGAATGAAGCCTCATGTTGGGATTCTCTCTCTCCTCTCTCTTTGCCCCTCCCCTGCTTGCAGGTATGCTATCTCTCTCTCAAAATAAATAAATAAACATTAAAAAAAGTATACAATCTAGTTCAAAAATTTCAACTTTTAAAAATTATTTGAATACCTAAGAAAATGGTAATACTAATATATATATGGCATTTTATTGGTAAAGAAATGAAATACTTGTAGTCATTAGTTTTGGGACTTGAATAGGGATCAGCTTCAGCAGCACTACACTAACTCAGTCTTGAAAAGATGTCCCCTTTCTTTAGATGAAAAAAACAATAATCAACGATGCAACAATCAAATTGCAATGTAATAAAGTAAGTAGCAATTCTGGAATGAGAAAAATAACAGTCATCTTTCTCTAATCTCACTTTCTTAAACTGGGAAATAGTATTAAACAAATTAAGGTCAGAGGTGCCTGGCTGGCTCTGTCGGTAGAGCACAAGACTCTTGATCTTAGAGTCATGAGTTCGAGCCCCGCATTGGGCGTAGAAGTTACTTAAAAAACAAAACACCACATCAAATTAAGGCCATTACAACTACCTAATGGAATATGCACTATTGTGGAGTTCTCAATTCAATAACTTTAAGAGGTATGCATGAAAAACACATACATGTATACATACATATACGGAGTTACATATTTATTTTTTTTAATTTTTTTAGAGTTTATTTATTTTGAGAGAGACAGAGACAGCATG